GCTTTTAAGCCATATGAGTGGTACTAAGAGTTAGTGCGTTACTCAGCGATATGACTGATACTAAGAAAAAGTACGTCACTTAGCCATATGAGTGATACTAAGAGTAAGTGCGTCACTTAGCCATATGAGTGGTACTAAGAGAAAGTGTGTCACTTAGCCATATCAGTGGCACTAAGAGTAAGTGCGATATTGAGCCATATGAGTGGTACTAAGAATAAGCGCGTTACTTAGCCATATGAGTGGTACTAAGAATAAGTGCGTTACTTAGCCATATGATTGGTACTAAAAGAAAGCGTATTTCTTAGCCATATGAGTGGTACTAAGAGTAAGCGCGTTACTTAGCCATATAAGTGGTTCTAGGAGTAAGTGCATTACTTATTGATATGAATGTACTTAGAGTAAATGCGCCACTTACGAGTGGTACTAAGAAAAGTTCTTCACAGCCATAAGAGAATAATGTACTACGAGTAAGCGTGTTACTTAGCGATATGAGAAATACTAAGAGTAAGTGCGTTACAAGGAACTAAGAGAAAGTGCGTCACATAGCCATATAAGTGGTACAATGAGTAAGTGCGTCACCTAGCTATATGAGTGGTACTAGGAGTAAGTGCGTTACTTAGCCATATAAGTGGTACTAAGAGTAAATGCATTACTTAGCGTTATGGGTCGTACTAAGAGTAAGTGCGTCACTTAGCCATATGAGTGGTACCAAGTGCGTTACTTAGCCATATGAGTGGTACCAAGAGTAAGTACGTTACTTAGCGATATGAGTGGTACTAAGAGAAAGCGCATTAGTTATCTATATGAGTGGTGCTAAGATGAAGTGCGTTACACAGGGATACGAAGGGTACTAAGAGAAAAAAACTTCACTTAGATGTATGACTGGTACTAAGAGTAAATGCGTTACTTAGCGATATGAGTGGTACTAAAAGTAAGCGCGTCATTTAGCCATATGAGTGGTACTAGGAGTAAGCGTTATTAAGCGATATGACTGTTACTAATTGTTAGTGCGTTACTCAGCGATATGAGTGGTACTGTGAGAAAGTACGTCACTTAGCCATATGAGTGATACTAAGAGTAAGTGCGTCACTTAGCGATATGAGTGGTACTAAGATTAAGTGCGTTACTTAGGGATATGAGTGGTACTAATAGTATGTGCAATACTTAGCGATATAAGTGGTACTGAGAGAGTGTGCGTCACTTAGCGATATGAGTGGTACTAAGAGTAAGTATGTTACTTAGCCATATGAGTGGTACTAGAGTAGGTGCGTTACTTAGCGATATGAATGGTACTAAAAGTAAGTGCGTTACTTAGCGATATGAGTGGTACTAAAAGCAAGTGCGTCATTTAGCCATATGAGTGGTACTAGGAGTATGTGCACTTTTAAGCCATATGAGTGGTACTAAGAGTTAGTGCGTTACTCAGCGATATGACTGATACTAAGAAAAGTACGTCACTTAGCCATATGAGTGATACTAAGAGTAAGTGCGTCACTTAGCCATATGAGTGGTACTAAGAGAAAGTGTGTTACTTAGCCATATCAGTGGTACTAAGAGTAAGTGCATTATTTAGCCATATTAATCGTACTAAGAGTAAGTGCGTTATTGAGCCATACGAGTGGTACTACGAGTAAGCGCGTTACTTTGCCAGATGAGTGGTACTAAGATAAGTGCGTTACTAAGCCATATGATTGGTACTAAAAGAAAGCGTATTTCTTAGCCATATGAGTGGTACTAAGAGTAAGCGCGTTACTTAGCCATATAAGTGGTTCTAGGAGTAAGTGCATTACTTATTGATATGAATGTACTTAGAGTAAATGCGCCACCTACGAGTGGTACTAAGAAAAGTTCTTCACAGCCATAAGAGAATAGTGTACTACGAGTAAGCGTGTTACTTAGCGATATGAGAAATACTAAGAGTAAGTGCGTTACAAGGTACTAAGAGAAAGTGCGTCACATAGCCATATAAGTGGTACAATGAGTAAGTGCGTCACTTAGCCATATGAGTGGTACTAGGAGTAAGTGCGTTACTTAGCCATATAAGTGGTACTAAGAGTAAATGCATTACTTAGCATTATGGGTCGTACTAAGAGTGAGTGCGTTACTTAGCCATATGAGTGGTACCTAATGCGTTACTTAGCCATATGAGTGGTACCAAGAGTAAGTACGTTACTTAGCGATATGAGTGGTACTAAGAGAAAGCGCATTAGTTATCTATATGAGTGGTGCTAAGATGAAGTGCGTTACATAGGGATACGAAGGGTACTAAGAGAAAAAAACTTCACTTAGATGTATGACTGGTACTAAGAGTAAATGCGTTACTTAGCGATATGAGTGGTACTAAAAGTAAGTGCGTCATTTAGCCATATGAGTGGTACTAGGAGTAAGCGTTATTAAGCGATATGACTGTTACTAATTGTTAGTGCGTTACTCAGCGATATGAGTGGTACTGTGAGAAAGTACGTCACTTAGCCATATGAGTGATACTAAGAGTAAGTGCGTCACTTAGCGATATGAGTGGTACTAAGATTAAGTGCGTTACTTAGGGATATGAGTGGTACTAATAGTATGTGCAATACTTAGCGATATAAGTGGTACTAAGAGAATGTGCGTCACTTAGCGATATGAGTGGTACTAAGAGTAAGCATGTTACTTAGCCATATGAGTGGTACTGAGAGTAGGTGCGTTACTTAGCGATATGAGTGGTACTAAAAGTAAGTGCGTTACTTAGCGATATGAGTGGTACTAAAAGCAAGTGCGTCATTTAGCCATATGAGTGGTACTAGGAGTATGTGCGCTTTTAAGCCATATGAGTGGTACTAAGAGTTAGTGCGTTACTCAGCGATATGACTGATACTAAGAATAGGTACGTCACTTAGCCATATGAGTGATACTAAGAGTAAGTGCGTCACTTAGCCATATGAGTGGTACTAAGAGAAAGTATGTCACTTAGCCATATCAGTGGTACTAAGAGTAAGTGCATTATTTAGCCATATTAATCGTACTAAGAGTAAGTGCGTTATTGAGCCATACGAGTGGTACTACGAGTAAGCGCGTTACTTTGCCAGATGAGTGGTACTAAGATAAGTGCGTTACTAAGCCATATGATTGGTACTAAAAGAAAGCGTATTTCTTAGCCATATGAGTGGTACTAAGAGTAAGCGCGTTACTTAGCCATATAAGTGGTTCTAGGAGTAAGTGCATTACTTATTGATATGAATGTACTTAGAATAAGTGCGCCATTTACGAGTGGTACTAAGAAAAGTTCTTCACAGCCATAAGAGAATAGTGTACTACGAGTAAGCGTGTTACTTAGCGATATGAGAAATACTAAGAGTACTAAGAGTGCGTTACAAGGTACTAAGAGAAAGTGCGTCACATAGCCATATAAGTGGTACAATGAGTAAGTGCGTCACCTAGCTATATGAGTGGTACTAGGAGTAATTGCGTTACTTAGCGATATTTGTGGTATCAAAAGAAAGTGCATTTCTTAGCCATATGAATGGAACTAGGAGTAAGTGCGATACTTGGTGATACGAGTGGTATTAAGAGAAAGTGCGATCCTTAGCGATAAGAATGGTACTCAGAGTTAAATGCGTTACTTACAATATGAGTGGTACTAAGAGTAAGTGCGCAGCTTAGCCATATGAGTGGTACTAAGAGTATGTGCGTTACTTAGCCATATGAGTGGTACTAGGAGTAAGTGCGTTACTTAGCGATATGAGTGATACTAAGAGTAGGTGTGTTACTTAGTGATACGACTGGTACTAGGAGAAAGTGCGTTACTTATCCATATGAGTGGTACTAAGAGTAAGTGCGCTGCCTAGCCATATGAGTGATACTAAAAAAAAGTGCGTTACTTAGCCATATGAGTGGTACTAAGAGTGGCATATGAGTGCGTGTTGTAGGCATATGAGTGGTACTAAGAGAAAGTGCGTCACTTAGCCATATGAGTGGTACTAGGAGTAAGTGCGTTACTTAGCCATATGGATGGTACTAGAAGTAAGTGCGTTACTTATTGATATGAATGTACTAAGAGTAAGTGCGTCACTTACGAGTGGTACTAAGAAAAGTGCTTCACTTTGCCATAAGAGTGGTTCTAAGAGAAAGTGGGAACCTTAGCAATATGAGTGGTACTAAGAGCAAGTACGTTATATCGCCATATGAGTAGTACTAGGAATATTAAAAAAGCAAGCGCGTTACTTAGTGATACGAGTGGTATTAAGTGAAGGCTCGCTGCTTAGCCATTTTTTGTGGTACTAAGAGTAAGTGCGTTACTTAGCCACTGGAGTGGTACTAAGAGTAAGTGCGTTACTTAGCCATATGAGTGGTACTAGGAGTTAAACCCTATACTTAGCCATATGGGTGGTACTATGAGGTTGTGTGTTACTTAGTGATACTAGTGGTACAGAGTAAGTGAGTATTTTAGCCATATGGATGGTACTAAGAGTAAGTGTGTTACTTAGCCATTTGAATGGTACTAAGTGCGTTACTTAGCCATATGAGAAATACTAAGAGTAATTGCGTGATTTAGACAGGTGAGTGGTACTAAGAGTAGTTGCGTTATTTTGCCATATAAGTGGTACTAAGAGTAAGTGCGTTACTTAGCCATGAGTGGTACTAGGAGTAAAAACTTTACTTAGCAATATGAGTGGTACTATGTAGGTGCGTTAGTTAGCGATATGAGTGGTGCTAAGGGAAAGTGCGTCACTTAGCCATTTGAGTGGTACTTGGAGAAAGTGCGTTACTTACCCATGTGGATGGTACTAGGAGTAAGTGCGTTACTTAGCCATATGGGTGGTACAAAGAGTAAGAGTGTTACTTAGCGATATGAGTGGTACTAAGAGCAAGTGCGTATATTTGCCATATGAATGGTAACAAGAATAAGTGTGTTACTAACATATTTGAGTAGTACTAAGAGTAGCGATATGAGTAGTACTAAGAGTTGGTGCGTAATTTAGCCATATGAGTGGTACTAAGAGTAAGTGTGTTACTTAGCCATGTCAGTGGTACTAAGAGTAAGTGCGTTACTTATCGATATGAGTGGTACTAAGAGAACCTGCGTTACTTAGCCATATGAATGGTGCTAAGAGTAAGTACGTTGATTAGCGATATGAGTGGTACTAAGAGGAAGTGTCAACGGGAGTTGTGTGTTGGCCTCGTCCTCGCTTGGGCGGAGCCGACTTCTTGGACAGGTTTAGGGGTTCAGCCGACCTGCAGCAGCGGGCGACCTGGTCGACGAGGAAGTCGACCTGTACGAGTGCCAGACTTCAGGATGGCGCCGACTTCAGGAAGGTCGACCTGGGAAGTCGACCTGCGGAGGGCGTCGACTTGGTGACGCCAACTTGGGGCAGCCAACTTGGGTGGTCGGCTGATAGGATCTGCTTGTCGACCTGGTGGTTGGTCGACCAGGCCTGCTGGTCGACTTGGTGCTTGGTCGACCAGGCGTGATGTCGGCCCGGTGGTCGACCAAACATGGTAGGCGACGAAGGAGGTTCCGACGTCGACCTCGACAGAGGGATTCAGGACGCCGAACAGCTGGGCGTCGAGTAGCAGGGCGTCACCTTGGTGACGCCCACTTCAGGTAGCCGACTTTGGGGTCGGCTGACAACTGTGCTGGTCGACGAGGAGCTGGTCGACCAGGAGTGACGTCGACCTGGAGCTGGTTGATCAGGGGTAGTGGTCGACCTGGTGAGGTCGACTTTAAGTGGTCGTCGACTTGGGAGGTCGACGGGCACGCACAGGAGCAGCTGGTCGACGTGGTTGCCCGGTCGACCAGGTTACCTGGGTGACGAGGTTCTGCGGAAGAGTGCGACGATCGCCCAGGTGGAGCCGCGACTCTGCACTGCTGGAGCGCGGTCGACCAAGTCGTGCTGGCACGCGGTCGACCGTCCTACACTGGCAGTAGACTTGCTTGCATGCTGGCTCTGATATAGTGTAGTCTTGCCAACTTCATAGTGTTGAAACGGCTGGAGGACGCGAGGAGACGCCATGACGCCCAGGAGTACAGAGCAATACCCTGGGTTGCATCGAGGCACGTCGAGGCAGCGTGGTGTGATTCACGCCGATGAAGTCGGCGGCGTTCAGGCGCGAGGGATGCGGTCGTCGGCGGCTGCAGGCTCCTCGCAGGGAGAGATCGGAGGTTGACAAAGTGAATCTTCGCCGATGTCGGCGACCCAGGTGACAGCAGGCGGGATTGCACCAAGCTACGGCTACTTAAAGTTTACGTCGGATAGGATCTTGGTCACTTCTCTGCTGGTCGGTCGACCCGACATTCTCACCTAGAAGGAAGCGATCGAGCCCCAGCTGGAGATCAACTTTGCTCGCGGTACCGTGGCGACGCAGGAGGACCCAAGACTTACGTGCGGAGTTTCGCGCCGTGCAGCTGCTGACCTCGGCAAAGGACGCCGACTCCTCTGCTGGCGGCAAGGGGCGAGACGACAAGGAGACGTCGTGCTCGCTGGTCGGCTTCGTGGATCCGACCGTCCTACTAGCCCCGGAGGCCGGCGAGGACTTCCAGGCGGTGGCGGCAGCTGTGCAGGCGAGCCCGTCGGTGGTCCTGCTCGACAGCGGCTGCTCACACCACCTGATGGGGACGAAGGACGCCTTCGTCGACTTGGGGCCGAGCGGCGACGTGAAGCACGTGCGTGGCTTCAATGGGGCGCTGCAAGACGTCAAGGGCCGGGGCACGGTTGCGCTGCAAGACGGGAGAGAAGCGGGTGCTCATTCCCGGCGTGCTGTACGTCCCGGCGTGCACGTGAACCTGCTGTCGGCTGGTCAGCTGAAGGAGAACGGTGTGAAGCTGCAGGACGACGGTGACGGGATGCTGCTCGTCTCGGCGACGGGCGACGTGCTTGGTCGAGCAGCTTATTCTGGCCGGGTCCTCTGCACCGACTTACGTCCCTGCTCGGCAACGAACGCCGATGAAGTGGTGGCTCTGCATGTCATTGTCTCAGGGACGAAGTCGACGCCGGACAGGCTGCATGCGACGCTTGAACACGTCGGCATAGACACCATCCTGCGCACGGCGAATCACGAGGTCGCTATGGGCTGGACCTCAAGTCGGCGCCGACTCACCATGTGTCTCGTGCGTCGGCGGGAAGCTGGCGCGGCACTCCTTCCCCAACCAGATCTCGAACGCCGACGACGTGCTGGCCGTCGTGCACATCGACATGTGCGGGCCATTCTGGGTGGCTGCCAAGGAAGACAGCCTGTACTTCTTGCTGCTGAAGGACCGCAAGACCCGCTACGTGTGGGTGAGGCCGGTCGTCAACAAGTCGGACGTGCTGCTGGAGTTCCAGATGGGGCTGGTGCTGGTGGAGCGGCAGACGAAGAAGTCGGTGTTGCAGCTGCGCTCTGACCGAGGAGGGGAGTTCCTCGGCAAGGAGTTCACCGCCTTTGTGGATGGCACGCGGATCGTCCACGACCTGACCTGCCCCTACACCCCGCAGCAGAACGGCATGGCGGAGCGGGAGATGACGACGGTGGTGGAGCCGATACGTGCGGACGATGCTGCTGCACATGGGCGTGCAGCACCACTGGTGGCACCTCGCTCTGCGGCAGGCTGTCTGGGTCCGCACCTGCCTTGAGAGAGCGGTCGGCGACGCCGGGGACGACGCCGTACCAGCTGCTCACCGGGACGAAGCCCGACCTGTCGCTGGCGCACGTGTGGGGCTGCATGGCGCAGTTTCTTGTCTTCGAGCAATAGCGTGGTGGGAAGCTGAAGCCGAAGGCCAGGTGGGGCCTTCACCTCGGCGTGTCGGAGGAGAGCAAGGGCTGGGAACTCCTCGATATCGCCGCCAGCCGGGTGGTCACCACTGTCAACGGGAGTTGGATGTTGGCCCCGTCCTCGCTTGGGCGGAGCCGACTTCGTGGTCGGGTGTAGGGTGCAGCCGACCTGCAGCAGTGGGCGAGTTGGTCGACGAGGTTGGTCGACCTGCACGGGGAGCCACTGCATGGGCGCCGACTTCAGGAGGGCGCCAACTTCGGCTGGTCGACCTGGGAAGTCGACCAGCCCTTCTGGTCGACCAGGGACGTCGACCAGCCCTTCTGGTCGACCAGGGACGTCGACCAGGCCTTCTGGTCGACCAGGGAATAGTGGTCGACCTGGGGAGGTCGACTGGAGGTGGCCGTCGACTTGGGAGGTCGACCGGCACGTACCAGAGGCAGTGGTCGACCTGGGGAGGTCGACCGGAAGTGGTCGTCGACCTGGGTGGTCGACGGGCACGCACTGGAGCCTCTGGTCGACCTGGTTGCCCGGTCGACCAAGTTACCTGGGTGACGAGGTGCTGCGAAGGCTTGCGATGGTCGCCCAGGTGGTTTTGGCGAGGACGAATTTGGTGATGGTATCCCGAGGTCGACGTGGTGCATCAGGAGCAGTCGTCAGCACGAAGTTGATATGGTGTGTGCGTTGTGCAGGTGACGAGGCACTGCACGCCAATCGTCTGCGAGCACCTGCTGTTGGTTTAAGGGCCTAATAAACTCAAGCTATTAGGACTTAATCAAACTTAAAACCTCTCCTCGGGGTCACCTCCAAGGGTCCCTGGGTGCCTGGTACAAGACCAGCCCCTATCCTCGGGTCCGAGTTTGTAGAGAGAGGGATCAAGAAGGACTTAGTCAAAACAGCAAGAGTACCTTGAACGTCGTGCAGCGTGCCGTGCAGACCGTCGATCGGATTAAGCTGAGAATTCGCTATATCGAAGCTCGCTCCAAGAGCTTTAAAATGAGCCAAGTTGCCTCGCGAAAAGTTCTGCCATTACTAAGTTATGGCTCGGACGGTGTTTGCCTAGCATTAGAGTACTAGCGTACTAGCGTTGACTCGGGTAGCATTCCGCCAATGAACCGCGTAGAAACGAAATTCCAGCGAGGAAGGAATTCACATGAATCAATTTGACTATATTCAGGTACAAACAGAGAAGGATTAAATAGTTCTAGCTAGCAAGGACCTTGGGAATCAACCTGGGAACAACCAGGGATGATCCCAAATAATTCCAAGCAACAGAACCAACCTGGCTGGACAAAATAGCAGGTGGTAGGTTGGTAAACAACCTCTGGTTCTGTTTTTCCAACCTGGGAAAACAACAACCAGGTTCAGGTTCTAAAAACAGAACCTGTTTTGTCTTTGCCCAACCAGCCAAATGCTGGTTCCGCTGGTTTCCCCTGGCCTTGTAGCATGCAGATACAGACAAACAACATCCAACCTTCACCTAAATTGTACCCCTATAGTGCCTTCCCTGCTACACTATAGTTAACCAAACAAAACAGTACAATTCCGAGTTGGATAGAACTGAATCTGCGCAATCAACTCAACCGAACTGCAAAGCTTCCATCTTGGGTTCCTTTGCGAGCTCGTCCTTCCTGCTTGCACTGTTCATAGCGCGTACAATGTTGTGCCGAAGCGCACATTGCGCGAGTACCTGCAAATGCATCAAGCGAAAAATGCGAAAGCAAACAAACACACGAACACACCATTCACACGCAAATGCATTCGCACACGCATACTCGTACAAACAGACGGCAGGATGTCGTGCAATGTGCATTTGCACCCAACACACTCCCCCTCAGCCTGCCGGCTGCATCCCCGTCATTCCATGCTAGTTCATGCTCATTCCACTCATGCGCACACAACGCCAATGAGGCTCATCCGCAAGCCTCTTGGTGAGAAAGTCTGCTGGCTGCTGGTGAGTCTTGATGTAGATTGGATTCACCGTCCCCCTCTTCACCTCCTTACGCAGCCAGTGCCACTTGATACGCATGTGCTTGTTCAGCCCATGAAGCACAGCGTTTCTGGCCATCCCAAGAGCCCCCTTGCTATCACAAAACAGCGGCGTAGCAACTTTCTGCTCCTGGCCAATCTCCTCTAACAGCCTCCTCAGCCAAATCACCTCCTTCACCCCATGGAACATCGCCATGTACTCTGATTCTACGGAAGAGAGTGCCGTCTCCGTCTGCTTCTTGGACCTCCAACTAACAGGTCCTCCCCCAACTACGCAGATGTATCCTCCCACAGATGAGGAATCCTCCTTCTCAGAAGCCCACGTAGCATCGGTAAAGCAAGTGAGAAATAGCTTGCCTTCTCCAAGCCTCTCCCCCTTCTCTTTCAGCACCTCCACCCCTTTCTGCTTCACCTGTGCAGATGCGGAGTATTGAACTCCAATGCTTGGGTGAGAGTTCAGGTACTTCACCACACGCTCAGCTGCATCCACCTGCTCCTCTGATGGATTCTGCACCACCCTAGCCAGCTGCCCAACCGAGAAAGAGATGTCGGGCCTCGTGTGAACTGCTGCGTATAAGAGGCTGCCCACCAAGGACTGAAATTGCTGCTGCTCTTCAGCTTCAACCCCTTCATCCTCTGCAGCCTTCACAAGCTTGAATTCTGCTGGCAGGGGAGTTGCAACCTTGCGCTCATTCTCAATCCCATACTTCTCCCCCAGCTCCTTGATGAACTTCTCCTGGTGCAGCTTCAACCACCTGTGATCTGGATCCCTCTCCACGTGCATCCCGAGGTAGTACTTTACCTCCCCAAGGTTCTTGCACTTGAAGTTTTCCATCAGTTGCTGCTGCACTTTCTGGATCTCCTTCATGCTGCTGCTGAAGAGAAGAATGTCGTCCACATAGACCAGAAACAGCACCAGCTTCTCCCCCTCGCCCTTGAGAAAGAGGCTCTCATCACAGCTGCTGGTCCTGAATCCCATCTCCTCTAAAACAGCTGCCAACTTCTGGTACCAGCAGCGTGGCGCCTGCTTCAAGCCGTAGATGGACTTGTTGAGCTTGCACACCCTGCCCGTACCATCCTCATACCCAGGCGGCTGCGTCATGTACACATCCTCCTCTAAAATCCCATTCAGGAATGCCGTTGAAATATCCATCTGAATGATGAATTTCCCACTAACAGCTGCATCTGCCAACAAGACACGGAGGGTAGGGGGTTTGGCAGTGGGAGCAAAGATCTCGTTGAAGTCCTGCTTCTCCTTCTGCATAAACCCCTTCGCCACCAGCCTACTCTTGTAGATGGTGACCTGCCCCTTGTCATCGGTCTTGATCCTCAGCACCCACTTGCATTGTATCGCTTTCTTCCCATCAGGCAGCACCACCAGATCCCATGTCCTATTCTCCAGCAGACTCTGGTACTCAGCATCCCTAGAAGCCAGCCACTTGTCCCTATCTGGTCCAGCTAATGCCTCCTCCATGCTAGCTGGTTCCTCTGGTGCAGGGGCAAGAAAACAGTACGCAGGCTCATCCTCCTCATCCGGGTCATAGCCATGAGGTAGAATCAGCAATGCCTCTTCGGTCCCTAGCTGCTGCTCTGCTGCATCAGTTCCTGCAGTCAGCTTCTTAGTAGCCATACGGGTACGTCCTGGCCTGGAGACGGGTGTCTCCCATCCCTTCATAACGACACCCTTCGGCTTCTTAGTTTTTCCCTGCTGCTTCTCTCCTCCCTCGGGTCCAGCAGCTCCACTAGTGCTGCCGCCAGTTTCCACACCATTTTCTCCACCAGCAGATGCCTCCTGTACCTTCTCTCCATCACCATTTCCAGCAGCTGCCTCCTCTCCCTCCTCCCACACACTAGGAGTCAGGTCCAGCTGCATGGTGATCTGCTCCATCTGCTGGGACACCCTTGCCTCCGGCTGTTTCTCCCAGCTCCCATACATCATGCCCTCAATGAATTTCACATCCCTGCTGTCAAACAACACACCCTTGGATGGTTCCCACAGCAGCCATCCCTTGCTCTCAGCAGCCAGCCCCAAATGCACACACCAGATTGCACTCGCCCCCAACTTACTGCGGTAGGTCTTGGGGACGTGGGCGACTGCCATGCAACCGAACACCCTCAGCATGTCCACCGGCGGCTTCCTCCCAAGCCACCTCTCCAAAGGCACCCACGAGTCATCCCCAACCTTGGTGAGCACCCTGTTCCTAGCGACGGTGGCGTGCCGGACAGCATGAGGCCACATAGAGTTGCTCAGCCCAGATTCTATGAGCAGCGCCCTAGCTGTCTCCAGAATGGTCCGGTTTGCCCGTTCTGCTACACCATTGGACTGTGGGGTATAAGCCGTGGTCAGCTCTCTCTGGATGCCCTGCTTCTTGAGCCAGGCCGTCATTTCAGCTCCAAGGAACTCACCACCCCGGTCTGTCCTAATCCGCTTCACTACACACTCCGCCTGCTTCTCCACGAATGGCAGCCAATCGTCCCGTATCGTGGAGGCGGCGTGGTCCTTCTGCTTCAGCGGATACGCCCACATCAGCCTGCTCCAGTCATCCACAATTGTAAGAAAATACCGCTCCCCCTTGTGCCCTTGCACCGGCAGCGGCCCCACCAAGTCCATGTGGACCAGCTCCAAAGGCTTCTTGCTCCTGCCAGCCACACTATGGAAAGGGAAACGGGTGAACTTTGAAAGCAAACAGATTTCACAGTTGTCATCGGGTGGCTGTCCGTTCAGCTTCAGACCCTTAACGGCTCCATCCTTCTCCAGCTGCTTCAGCAAAGGCATTGCCACATGCCCTAAGCGCCGGTGTGCCGTTGCCCAATCTGTCTCCCCAGATCTGGCCGACACTTTCACACCAACCCCTCCAACGGCATTGCACTCCC